GTAAGTATACCAATGTTAAATATTATAGAGACTAATTTCAATGGTACTAATAGACAAGTATAATTATTTTAGTTTGAGTGCAGTCTATTTCATTTCGTACAGTATATTCACTATTTAGGTTTTTACTATTTAATTATAAATAATGTTATTTATTATTTTAGTAAAGTCTTGTATTTGTTTTAATGAATGGTTTTATTTTTTGTTACATATTATTTGAGTTTTAATCGAGTCAATTGGCAATTTCTGAAGTMCAGTTTCATTTCGAACTAAATGACAGCTTTGAATATACTAATTTATGTTAGAGGTCTTTTCATTATCATCCATTCTCTAGGAGTTTTGATGAATTTATGAATGACATAAGAGAAACAACTGGCCTTAGATTGTATTGAAAAATTTGTCGTAACAATAATAGCGATTAATACAACATACAACTACAATATAGAAAACATTATTACCATAATATAATGATAAATAACATATTTTGCCCAAAATGTGACGGTAGGTTCAAAATATAACAGTAGTTCATACGCAAATTATCGATTCCAACAAAACATTCTGTTCAAAAAAAAAGGTATATATCGACYCATTTGGTATTGATTYCCCTGACTGCTATCCATGCTATATTTATCTATCGATTACACTGTGTCTTAAATTTATAAATATATTCATTGCTTTGTTCAAATGGTTAACTCAACAAATATTATATTTAATATTTATAAMATATAATGTGAAATTTAAGGCTGGGGAGAATYAATATTTGGTGGAGTCGATAGGTAAAGATATTATGAATAGTTGCAATCAACTTAATCATTAGCTGCAGATTGATTTGAAGTCGTTAAAATTGAAATACAATGTGTTTTACGATTCACCACTATRATACCAGTCTGATAATTTGTAAATATTTGTATACAAACACCGTATTATTTTCATAGCTATAATAATCGGAAGTATGGAGCTTATAATAATAACTAAAAACCATAAAGTAAATTATTTTTATTTTTAATATAACATTACGTCAGTGAATTCTACGTTCATCGGGTCGCCAATGATTGTTCCGTCTGGTTGTTTGTATCCGGCGTAAGAAATTAGTTGAGAGTTCCAAACACGAAAATCATGCCGACCATCGGTCCTTTGTTGAAAAACAGTTATAGCTGATCTATAAACATAAATATTTGATTATGAAGCATGATGATTAATTTATTGATACACTCATCAACAATATCTTTGAACGGGCGAGATACTTTTGAACCAAAATCGTACCTATTCCTTTATTGCCAAACTAAAAATTTTAATATTTAACTATATGTTATACTTGTTGAAACATTATCAAACATAATATGTCGTATACAAATTATAAAATATAAAAATAGTCCATTTTGTAACTATCAAAACATAATTTTATATCTACAAAAATTGAATTTTACAATAACATAATATATAATAATGTAAAAATGTAATACTTTTGTTAAAGTTAATAACCTAAGTAGTTGATACTTAACCAATAATATATATATATATATATAAATAAAAATATATCATTTGTTATGAATTATGTATGTTAGAGACAATTTAATTAATAAAAGTAAGAAGCGTTGCCGTGTTAGATGTACATATAGACTTCAAAGCAATAAAGTCAAGGAAGCTAAAAAAAAAGACGAGAAACCATTAACCGGTCTGAAAATCCATCGCGGATATCGCGGAATATCATCAGATATGATAGATAAATTCGTGTGTGCTGAGATTCTGAATCCAGTTATAGATCCTTTATTGTACGAGATAGTAAAGGCTGACATGATACATGGACCAGGTGAACTTTTGAACAGAAATTTTCCTTGCATGAAAGAAGGTGTTTGCAGCAAACGTTATCCAGTTACCCTGATTAAAGAAAATCAAAAAGCAGAAGATGGCCATCCAAAATATAGAAGGMGATCTACAAATGATGGAGGTTTGAAAGTAAGTATTAAGTCGATTGACTTAGATAACAGGTGGGCTGTTCCGTACAAACCAGTTTTTTGAGTACTTTTATTGCTCATATAAATGTTGAGATAACCATCAGTTCAATAAAGTCAATAAAATATGTTACACAGGTTAGCGATCACGCAGTGTTTGGTTTAGGAAAAACTGGCAATACAGATGAAATGAAAATATATGAAAGTGGCTGGTATATCAGTAGTTCCGAAGTACCTTGGAAAATTTTAGGTTTTCATATACACGATAGGTATCCAGCTACTCTATAAAGATTACTCATCTTTATGTTCTCTTAGAAAATAGACAACGTGTTTACTTTACAGAAGATAATGTCACAGAAAGAATAGAAATTCCTCCTATAACTACTCTTCAGGCTTTTTTTCTGATATGTCAAGCCAATGGTTTTGCAATAACATTGGTTTATCCACAAGTTGCTTCGTATTATGTGTGGATAAGTAAGAAATTTGTCAGACGTAAATATGGCCAGAATGTCGTTGGTTGGTCAGGAGTTAAGAAAGATACAGCTTTGGGTAGAGTTTATACAATCAACCAAAAGAATGTTGAATGTTACCATCTTCGTCTTCTTCTTCATCACACAAAAGGCCCAACATCGTATTAATTTTTGAAGACTGTGAACAACACCGAATATCTGACATTTCAAGCAACATGTAGAGCCCTTGGATTATTAGAAGATGACAATCAGTGGAATTTAGCTTTAGAATAAGCAGCAGTATGTCGTTCAATTAATAAAATGAGAGAACTATTCGGTGTAATATTAATATTTTGCGATCCATCGGACGCTTCAAGGCTTTGAAATAAGTATAAGGACGATTTTTCAGACATTATCCGGTGACAATACTATAGAAAACATATGGAAAATAATATAACAGACGATGAACTTTATAATTAATGTTTGGTATCAATTTAAGATTTTGTTTTCTATCTGTTGATAATTTAAAAAAAAAATTAAGAATTGTGTCTTTATAGTTTATACTTAATAGTATACCTGTTATCGAACAGTAAGACGAAAAATAATAAAGTTGTAATAAAAATTTTATTATAATATAACATTTTGTATTTAAAGAAGGTGGTGCTATGTAAACATTGAACTTAAGAACTGATTGTTGGTTTATAATGAATGGATAACTACATAATTAATTATGTTCATTTAAAAATATAAACATGTTTATATAGTTTATTTTTAAATTATAACCAACACAATTTAAATAACAAAGTATTTAGTGTAAATAGAATCATCATCTGTTCACTAACAAAAAAATGTGACGAAGTTCTTTCAACCGCATTACCTACTGTGGTTTTTATAAAGGGGAAACTTATAGACTTATCCTTTCAAAACTTTGTAAATTGTAAGTGACTGTTGAAACTTTTCAATTCGTTTTTGTAACTTTTTAATAAAGTGTTGTAAAACCGAAAATCTTAACCGGAAAAWGTCTGTGTTTGTAAAAATAAATTCAGTATTTAAAATTGATAATTTATGTAAAATAGTTGATATTTTTTTAACTGCTTATTTAAATGTTTGCTACACATTGTTTAATTTTGAATGAATTTATCAAAAAAAAAAAAAAAAAAATGGAAAATTCTTTAATAGATCAGTCAACGTAAATCATAAATTTAGCATTTAAGTATATAAATTTGAAATTGAAAACAATTTAAGGAATCTTTTATGTGCAGAAAACGTAACAGTAATCGATTGTATTTTTTTTTTATATATATTCGAGAATATATTATGCCCTTTTGAACAGAGATGGATTACTTATTGTTCAAAAAGTATTTTGACCAGTGACTTTCATGTTAATAAGAATATTATAAATAATAAATTCTAGTAGATAATAAAGTAGTTCACGCTAGAGGTATATTTTATCAGCTTAATTTTTTTGAAGTTTTAACTATTTAATTTTTATATATTAGGTTTTAAGATTAACAATAGTGTGGAAAATGTAAATTTTGGATACGCTCATTCTGTTTAAAATGATTGCATAAAATGTAAAGTTTACTGCAAAATTGTCTTAATAAGAAACTTTTCAGATTCATTGGTATTCCTATATGCAAAATCCTTTCCTCTTTAGTTCCAACTTTGAGTTCATCGAATTTATATACGTATATAATGTATTATATTATTATACCGTATGCTGGAATAAGTGCTAGCGACATTAGGTGACGCAGGAAATTAAATCTCATTTGATGTATTTTCAGTTTATAAAACTTTTAAATAACACCTTGTGATACTAAGTCAAAAAATTGTATTGCTTACGAATTATTCGGTTGGAAATCGGCCATTGATTGTATTTACATTGATATATTATGCTATAATTACATAATATTATTTTTATAATAATATTCAAATGAAAATAATTAATAGTTATTAATTTAAATTGGGGTTTTCTGTACCAACCTATAGTGATAATTATTTGTTAAAAAATAAATTATACATCTCTTATAGCATTAACATTACTTTGCATCACTGAAAAAATGAATACTTTTCAGTTGATTTATGTGGGCTCAAGTGAACTGTCAACCACTCAGAGGTCATTAAATGTCTATATATTATTATATTTCTATTTATTTTCAAATTTTTAAAAAACATTATGGTATCCCCGATGCCACCGATGTTGTTTTATCTGCCATTCTAGCGTAATTGCTGTTACATTCCACGTTGTGTCTGATATGACAACAATAAAATTACAGACAACTGAAAAGTATTGTAAAAATATTTAAAAGTCATAACTTTCATACCTTACCGTGATCGTAGTGATCGTGATCACTGCAGGTCATTGATCACGGTCAATAATTTAAGCCTTAAGGAATGGCCTATTATAGGATACAAACAAATATATTAAAGATAATAAATACTTTGAAAAAACACTACAAAAATCTACTCGCAAAATGAAATTTTCATATGCAACAATCAACCATGAAATATTCGTATTTAATCTTAAAAATCCAGTCTAACAATATGTATAAATTACTTTTAAACCTGGATTATTACACAATAATTTCAACAAAGATTTCTTTTAAGTCCAATAAATACTCAATAAACTATTTATTTAATCATATCGTATCATTATTGCATCTAGTTTTCTAGTAATAATACATTATAATAAATGGACAAAAAAGTATTTTCAATTTATTTTCTAATTAAATATATTTTAATATATTTGATGACTGTAAAAATATTTATTATAATTAAAGAAATCTCAAAATGTAATAGGCCGAACTCAATAAAAAAAAACTCGAAATATAAAAAAAATAAAATACTTTAATTTATTAAATGTATTCGGTTTTTTTTTTCGATTTGTACAAGTGCCAATATGTTATAAAAGGTAATAAACATAATTTTATTATAAACGTGGAGTATACGAATAAAATTATAGAATGGAACCTTATGAAATATTCATTTAAGTAGTAAATTTGGAGCTATAAGATATATGACACCTTATTTTTTTATTTTTTKTTATTAGGCAGACTGTTTATAACAAAACCAATTTTTTTTTATGTATCATATGGTATTGGAATAACTAAAATACAGTTAAAAAAATGGATGAAACATTCATTCGTAGGACGTAGACTTTTACCTATAATTTTGTTCTTAGAATTATAGTATATCGATTTTTATGGTAATGGTAACTGCGTTTGAATTGTTATTACATCTCACTACACGTTATAATGATCATTCAGTTTTAAAAATAAAAACATGATTCGTATGCTACGGCCTTTGCTTCTATAAAAAAAAGTATTGTATTTTTTTTTTTATCGATTAGTCGTTAGTGGATGATTTGCTATCTTCGATTATTCTTCGATCTATATTGGTTAGTAATATTTTTTGTATTCACTTTTTGATACGAATGAAGAAATATTYCAAGTCACATATTATTTAAAATATATCATTATATTCAGCCTAGTTTATTGATTCTTTAATTAGAGTTAAATTTTTTTTTCGATCATATTTACAGCCGACTTGTACATCATTTACAAACGTGGAAGTCAAATAAATTATTAGTTAGAAAACGACGTGAAATATCTGTTTTGGATTTAAGACATGATTTATTCTCCAATATATGCAAATGTGTTGGTTACAATGAAATCTACAAGAATAAAGGTGACACGAACGGGTTCATATGGTAAATCCAATCAATAGCTGACAGTTTAATCAAACTTGTAGAATTTAATTCTGTCTTTATTGGATGAAGTGAAGAAGGATCGCACGCTGGTTTGCGTATGCAAATTAAATTATTAAACGCACACTGAAATCGGACTACTCGACGATGCTATTTATATAACACCAACACTACTACCACTGGCACCACAACCCCTCGACTACTTTCACCAACAGCATCCCTACCACTACCATCATCACCACTCCCACCACCACCAACAACAACAACAACAACAACAACAATAATATCGCTAGGTATATAATAAGGGTTTGGAGAAGAATAAATTGAGAAGTTTCGCTTCCAGAATTTTGTTTAATATGCTAATACACATACATAGATAGGTATTTTATAGTGGTCATATGGATGAATGCATTTGTGTTTTGAGAAATGTTAAAGACTTGTACCGTGTATTGTGAATAATGTTTATTTTAGTTACAAACCTTATGTTACCCTTGTTTGTGCTGTACTTGATGTGGTTGCAAATAGCTTCGAACATGTTGCTAGTCGTAGTCACTGATCTACAATCAAACATCTGAAAAATAAACAATAATTATCAAATATTCCGAACAAATTCGGRTAAGTATATGTCTATATTTGAAATAATTTCAGAATAATTAAGAAAATCCAAATAGTAACGATTTATGGAGCCTGGGCCAGGCAACGTTGATGATATATAGGTAATGAAAAAAATAAAATATTTTTAAATATAAATGTGAAGGTATAAATTTATTAATTCATAGGTTAGTACCTACTAAACCGTTTAATAATCAAGTATTTTCTTGAATATAAAACAAAAAATATTTTTGACATGTTAAAAATCGATGTATTATTTTAAGTGGTACTCTACAAAATATGTTAACTGACATATATTATGGGAATATGTAATTTAATAATAAATTGAAAAATTGTTATGTGCAATAAATAAAGTTTAGAGTTTAAAAACAATACTGTTAAATTATAAGCAATTGATTTCGAGACATGATACATTCATAAATATAGGAGTTTCATACGATGCATTTTACGTATAATATTATTCATATTTATTATCCAGTACGGTACGGAACTATCTACCAGACAAATGTTTATAATTCAATTCATTTTTAACACACTAGAATGAGATTATATACGTTTTATTATAGATAACCACCGACAATTCACTTATCATCGGCGTATGTTCAAATGTTTTATTCTCAATCACCCATGAATACTCAATGGGTTTGAGTTCAAAATCTAACTGTATGGATGACTTGGTAAAAAAAAAAGATTATAGTCTTGATTGAATGGATGTTTAGAACCATTGAAGCGTGTTCAGCAGAATGGGTTAAAAATGATCCGTGCGTAGCCTTAAAGTTACAGCTTAAAAAATGTTTTCATTGACATTTTTATTTTTCACGAACATTTAAATATATGTTAGACATACAACTATTGTCAAACTGTATATAACTTGGTGAAGATAAGACACACGTATAGTGAGAGTGTAGAACGGTTGCAAAATTGCATTTTTAATATATTGTAATATATATTTATTTAAAAACTATTATTCTTTAAAATATAAAATATTTCAATCGGATTTCGTAAATATTTTTGTTTCTTACGTTTTTATATTTCATGCAGTAAGAAAATAATTTTCGTTACTAGTATCTTTTATAATAAACATCATCATAAATAACAATTCCTTACAATATTACTCTCGTAATATTACTGAAATATTCGAATTTTATTATTGTTATTATAATATAATCCTAACGTAAATATACGTAAAATATAACTAAATTTCTGCGTTTAACAGTTATGGAAACTATCATATTATGAACACACGAACCTGCAGTTTAGCCCATTGTATTCGTCCAATGCATCTGGCAGAATTCCTCCATGCTAATTTGGCACCAAATACCAATTCAGTTTCTGTAAGTTGATAAGTACCCGTCGCATTAACTTCTTGTTGTACTTGTTCCCATCTGGCCTCATACGCTGGTGTATTGGACCTGTAAATATGAAAACCGTTGTTAAATGAACGCGTTTACTGTTAAAACTTAGAGATGTTAAAATACGGTGTTTTAATTTTTTTTTTTATCTTATACCGTATTATAYACATCATAGTACTTAGACTATTAAAGTAATTGAATCCGGGTGATAACYCTAATGATCAATTTTAAAATGTCTYAATGATTTCAGAAAACATTTTAAAGCCACAATACCACACAAATTATTTTAGATTCAATTAATATTTGAAGTTATGCCTTCAATCCTAATGAATAGAAATGATTTTAACTAAAAATAATGTACCTAGTTACAATTCATGATAAATTATATTCTAAAACATCAAATACATTTTTTAATAATATTAACTAATGTGTGTAGTTTTTTTATACATATCGTATAAGATAATTTCATACCATGCGTATAATACCTTGTATGGTATGAACTCGCATTTCTAATGAAACCCAATTAGAAGTGATTGGACGGAGTAATGTTATATATTCGAAATGTTTATTTGCGCATCTAACATATTTTTTTTCATACAAATTCACCTTAACAGCTAGGGTTCGCGCAGCTCAGTAGTAGCAGTTTTTTGTGTCGGTAGAGATCAAATTAAGAAATGAATTTCCATTTCATTTTTTTTTCATTAACATGCATTTAAATAAATTACAAATTATAATTCATATTAATGGCTGTATATAAGAAACATTTTAATACCATTTTTTTTTCATTAAACATTTTATATGCTATATGCTACAATGATGTGGAGGTGTCTTGACCCAGATCCACCCCTTCGGAGTGCTGCTGATACATAATTATACAATTTATTTAGGTACCTTAAAACACGTGTTAGGGAAATGTTGATCATTTTTAAAGAGAATTATTTGGGTATACGATTATAAATATCTCCTTAATTTGAGACTATACTCGTAAGAYGATACAAATAAATAGGAAAAAGTAATCGAGTGAAATAATAATAAATTATTTGTATATTAGAATAACGCTCAAGCATTATGCCACTGTAATATTTAAGYGGACACCGGGTTCGGTAGAATACGACTTCTACGAAATAACACGATTGCTTATCAGTTTTCATACCTCGTGATATCCTGGTTAGAAGTTTAAGTATACCTACTACACCTTGAGATCGTTCAAAAGTTTGAAATTAAAATGTTTTAATCACTAGGTGACGTCGGTTAGTGGGGATGGTGGACGGTGGTGGTCAGACGCGTGCATTTTGTACGACACATTTTAAGTACAGGCATTTGCGCTGTATCCCGCTAATTTATTGCATACCTATCTATAGAATTCCAAGTAAAACAATTCGTGATTTTAGATTTTGTACCGATYYTTGTCGATGATATTGTCGTCGTAGACCATAGYGTTATAATAAGACGATTTGTTTGATTATCGTGCCGTTTTTGGATGCTGAGGTCTATTTATTTTTGCATGTGGTCATTTAAAATTTAAATATATTTTCCCTTTACGGTGGGTTTATCGATCGAAATCGTTGAAAAAAATACGTCACACAAGTTCAATTCGGTTGATAAACGAAAAATGTGTACTGCCGAAACCAGCGAACGATCACGAGATGAGGATTATAGTAATATATTATTATTATTTACAAATAAACAATTCACGTGTACGATTTACTATAAACGTATTCGACATTCAAACACATTCTAAATATATAAAAGTGTACGAGATGAATATTTTACCAGTTAAACGATAGTAATTTATTGTCTGGGTATGTTAAATGTTTATGTGTTATGAAAAACATTTTTTCTTCGAGTCGTTACAACACAACAATTTCGAAAAAACAAACTACATTTATAATAATATTATTTTTTTAAGTACTTTACTTTTTTAAATTACAATATCATACGTTTCTGAACCAGCAGATGAGTGGAGTCGTGAAGCAACACAGCAGTACACCCCAAAACGTTTGTGTGCTCTCCATTCGTCTGAACTTTAAATATTTATTGATTCGGGGTATGAAATTATAAATGTGTTTTCATTTAAAADAAAATAAAAAACTTAAAAATGATAACGATAAAAAATGTTGTGTTATATAAATGAGCTCAATTTATTTTTAGATCTAAAAAAGTTTACCAAARCACATAMATTTGCTGAGGGAATGGTGGTTTAGTGATAAGAGAACTATTTACTACTCWGCGTATAAYATATTATAATATTATAATATAGCCGCGGGCTACCTCTGGGTATTCGAAATTATTATTGTTATTATTGTTAATATWATAATTATTATTTTGCTTGTACCGTGTATTGTGTGTACAAGTTGGTACAAATACATGTGTCGCTGTCACATACATAATATACGTATAGACTCGTAAAATAATACAAAGATATTATTAATAATATTATATTACATAGGTAGGTAATGATAATTATTTTGTCATTATGACGGAAACAACGATGGTAAGGCGTGACGTGATGGGTGGAGTACATGGGTTAGAGGGTGTGTGTGTGTGCGTTGGGGAGGGGAAGACAATAGAGAATAAGCTCTCGACGTCTCTGCGTGGATTACTATAGCAATATTATTATTATATTATATATACGCGAGTTTATACGAGTAGCACACGGCGACGAATTTATTGTGACTGAATGGGTATAACGATACGACGCGGWCTCTCCCGTATTAATAATAATACAGTCCTTTTCTTCCATTCTCGCGAACGCAAGAAACGCGTATAATACGACGCCGTCTAAGAAGGTTTATATCAAGATTAGGTACATGATTACCTGTGGCACGTTTAATGTTTAGATATTATTATTATTATGATTATGATAATTTATCGTTCTCGCGGCGTATGACACTTGGCGATCGTTGTTCCCTCTTCCACCAGGTTCATGTCGTTCAGCGGCAATTACACGTGGGGTAGTGGGTGTGGCCGTGTGGGAGATATTGTGACGAAGAGTACTATATTTGATTTATATATATATATATATATATATATCATATGATAATTTTAAATTTATAATAATTATATTTTGGTGTTGAAATAGTACTTTGTTTGTGTGACATACCAGTTTCATAAAAAAATGCTTTTAAAAAACGAGTTGAGGAATACATTGAATACAAATAATGTAAATGCTTTTCAAATATCTACTTTGGAATCGGAGATGTATTCAAGCTTGAACGTATAGTGCACAAGTAAATTTTTACAAAATACCAAGTATTTGAAATACATCCGGACAGTGGAATAAAAAAACAATTTATAGCATACGATATTATTTTATCGTGCTTAGCAAATATACAAACCAAACAATTATATAGCGAGAAGATATTTTGCTTTCTTATAAATCAAGTTATTTCCGTATTCTAGTGAAAAGAAAATATTAGATATGAGAGTTTACTCGTCTATATTTATCACCAGATCAGTTCATCGCATTAAATATTATTGAAAATACAGTGAAACTTCCCTAACGGACACTTCCAAAATATAGCGTATTGTTTTGTGGAACAAGCTACTGAATCCTTTGAATAGCGTATAACTCGGAATAATGAATACAATTTCAGTATCCGGTATTTAAAGGTTCAACTGTTTATTACTTTGCATTGAATCATAATATTAATATAGGTCACGCTTAATCTAGTTTCGAGTAGCGTTTATAGATAGCTAGGCTGGAGCTCTACTAGACAGAAAAAACAATAACCGTTTAATGATTGATGACTTTCTTAAAATTTAGCTCTCATATATCAATGTTTTGATCTATGGCCTAACAGATGAACAAAGTGTGGTAGCGATAACCACGTAGTGATAATCCATAGTGATTGATATTGGTGTGATGGGGTGTTCCGTTGACATGTAAAAAAAACTATCCACAACCAAATTAATTCATATAAATATATTATATCGACGAAATTTGTATTGAAAAAATTCACGAAATTATCGAAAACAAACGAATTCAAATACTGGTACCCACCTAAATACACCACAACAATTTAATCCAATCCATATACATTTTACTAGCATTGTGTGAAACGTGTCTGAAATCTTTTCCAAGCATTTCTTCACGCGTCATGAATGTTTATCGATTAAGCATTATAATAATATATAATGGATGTTTACGCAATGACGTTTAAATAGCTTTTGATCCTCGGAAATTTGTGTTTATCTTAACGAGCTTCGCACCTGAAAAATATAGGAATCTATATGGGTCCCATTCCCATGCTGTCTAAACGTTAACATATGTTAGGCGCATAGAATTGAGGACGGTTTGTCTTAAGATTTGAATATAGCTATATGTAATAGTTATGTGGCTGTAGAATACTATAAACAAATCGTTTCATCTTTTACAAGCTCTTTAATACGAATGTTTAGATCAGCAAAATAATTATACTATTATTATTACATTATATTGTATGTTTCTACAATATTGTCATCTCGTATTTATGATGGTAGATGTCGAGATGAAATTTYGTAATATCAAAAAATCTTACGATGATCATAATACTGTGTCGTTTTATAACAATTTGAAACCAAATTAACCGGTTCTCAAGTCYAGTGAAGTTTGCGAATAACCTTGAATTCTCATTCTGGCGATGTTTTCAGCTGATATTTAAAACGTCCGCCCACTGATTTCACCGACACTATACTTGATTATGTAAATAATCCATTAAAACTGAAATACTAATGTTTAAGTCCGATAAAAGTTCGGATGATTTTATTCGCTCTTCGTTAATGTACGGATGTATGAATTCATCTCTTATATTATTTAACCATGCGCATGAGTAGCGAGTAATCGCTTAACGAGTGTAACGGTGCATAAAATGACCTCCCAACTACAATATTTTCACAAYAACAAATGGCATACTGAATTGGTACTTTGTCCGAAGTATTACGGCTTGTTCATTCAAGTCAAACTTTGCTTTTATTTAATTATTTTCCAAAAAATGACTCGTGTATGATATTTTTATCTATACACAAGTAGACACCATCGAACTATCGTTATGTCTGACTGTTCATTATTTAGGCATACC